GGTTTCCTGGCAAGAAGTACCTCTCGGCAGCCTGTTGGTGTTTTTTGTGTTGTTTTTCCTCTGCTGTTGGCTCCTGCAGTGTGAGGCTGCTTTCTGCCCTCTTTCTCTTGGCTTCTGAATCATTTGCCTCTCCCTTAAACTACTGCACCAGGTGCTGGGCCAGTGTTCTGGTGTCCTGTACCCCTGAGATTATAGCTGTGGTTCAGTGTGCTTTGCTTTTAGAGGAAGAAGAATACATGGGGTGAAGCTTACTGGAGGTGCAGGCAGATGAGGAGGGGTTACTTTGCCCTTTGGAAGGATCAGGGAAGGGACCCCTGGTTGAGGGGCTTCTATGGAAAAAGATCTGGCCCTGCTGGGTTTGAAGCCCTGAGGGGGGTGAGTTCCTCTCCAGGAAGGGCTGGGCTGGAATCACAGTCTGCTGTTTGATGCTGAGAACATCTCAGAGGGATGAAGAGCTGGAGGTGAGACACAGATGAGGGAAAGGGCCAGAGAAGACACTTTGTGTCCTGCTGTTGCCCAGGAGAGGTGGCATGTCACTGTCAGTGGTGTGCAGCCATAGAAAAGGTGCTACATTTTGTGGGGAATGAAGGGTCTTTGCCTGCTTCTCAGGTGAGATTTGAGACAACCAGCTTCAGGAGTGTCTGAGGTGGCTATAAACAGACAGCAACAAGGTGGGTGGTGGCGAGTGCAGCCTTCTGAAGGGAGACATGGGCCATGGAACTGATCTGCAGACTGCTGTGTAATCCCTTAGCTACTTCACTGCCTCGGGCCTGGGAGATGGTGAATGATAGCTTTAATTTTATACATGCAGGGGTGGCCCCAGGTGCTTTGGAGTGAGATGTGGAGGGTATGGCAGAGTGAAAACGTCAAGTCGGAAGTTGTGAAAGCTGAATCTGTGCCTGAGAGCACAAATCAACCCTTGCCTGCAAGTGCTGGAGCCCCTAACTTGGATGGACAGCTCTGCAGTGCAGTTCTGGGAGGATGCTGAGGGAGGAAGGGTTGGACCTATGAACTGGTGGGGCCATGGGTCACACTGAGTAGGGCTTACAAGACAGGCTTTCATGATTGCCAGATGTCTGAAAGGCTGAGAAATTACTCAATGCCCTCTTAGGAGAGAGAAGACTCATAGGAAGGGACAGTAGCGTTACCATGAATCTGAAATCCCTCAAGGAATCATAGAATCATAGGGGGACCTCTGAAGATCATTGAGTCCAACCCCCCTGCTGCAGCAGGAACAGCCAGGGCAGATCACACAGGAACGTGTCCAGACAGGGCTTGAAAGTCTCCAGAGAAGGAGACTCCACAGCATCTCTGGGCAGCCTGTCCCAGGGCTCTGTTGAGGTGGAACTTCCTGTGTTGTCACTTGGTGCCGTTTCCCCTTGTTCTATTACAAGCACCAGTGAAAAGAGGCCCATTCTTGACACACATCCTGCAGGTATTTATAGACATTAATCATGTCCCCTCTCAGTCTTCTCCAGACTAAACAGCCCCAGGTCTCTCAGCCTTTCCTCATAAGGCAGATAAGTTTAGTCCCTTCATCATCCTCATAGCCTCCGTTGGACTCTCTCAAGTAAATCCCTGCCCCTCTTGAACTGGGGAGCCTAGAACTGGACACAGCACTCCAGAAGTGGTCTCACTAGGGCAGAGTAGAGGGGGAGGAGAACCTCCCTTGACCTTCTGGCCACTCTGTTCTTAATGCACCCCAGGATACTGTTGGCTTTCTTGGTCATGAGGGCACATTGCTGTCCCATGGATCATTTGTTGTCCACCAGGACCCCAAGGTCCTTCTCCATGGGGCTCCCTTCTGGCAGGTCAAGCCCTAATCTATATTGGTGCATGGTGGTTTTTTTTTCTCCCCAGGTGCAGGAAATGCCATCTGGAATGTCAAGGTGTGGTGTTGGCACAGGGCTGTGTTGAATTAAGCTTTAGTTGCATTTCTGTCTCATGTGAGTCCAGCCAGCTGCAGTGAAACCAAAGGGCCTAACCCCAGAGCTGAAAGGGGGTGGCTGCAAGTCCATGTCATGGTGATCTCAAGCTCTACCCTGCTTGACTGCACAGCAGAAAAAAGCTGTTGTTCTGACAAGTCATTGTGCTCTTGCATGAGGCAGCTTTCTGGGAACTGTCACCTGGCCATAATTTACCAGCTTTTGCTGGGGAGGAGAGAGAACAAAAGCCTGGTGGTAATTCAGCCACTCCCTTGCCAAATGCTGCCTCAGTCTGGCTCTTCAAGAGTGTGAAACGTTTGGAAAGATGCCGAAACAGGCCAAAGTCCCTCTCAGGAGTGATGGCTGGGTTGAGGCTGTGTGGTGAGGAGCTCTAGGTGCAGGTCTGTCCCCTGTGCAGCTGGGGGAGAGGCACAGCAGGAGGTTTGCAGAGCATCTGGTCCACATGCAGCATGTGGGTGCTCTGGCAGCCACCCCTGCTGAGGTGCTGCTGCTGCCAGAGGGCGGCTCCAGCTCGGCCTCAACTTGTGTTAGGAAATAGGAACTTGAACTTTTGGAGAGCTTGGGGCTTGCTCAGCAGTGGGTCCATTTATTAGTCACCGTGCTACTGGGACAGCTCTTTTGGCAGTGGATTTGTGAAACCACGGGATTAGTCTGCTTTTAACTGAGAAGCCTGACATGTGAATGGTCCTACTAAAAACTCCCAAACCCCCTTGGCTCAGGCTCAGTGACCAGCTCAGTGCCTGGAGAAGGACAGGCTCACATAAGGCCATGGGGTGGATTGAGTCAGGGTTTATAGATCCAGTCCAGCTTTTGGAAAATCTGTTCTGTCTGCTTGGATGCTAAGACATTCAGAAGAGTTTCGTTCCTGCAGTTTGTGTCTGGCTTTCTCCCTAAAAATGAATTCCAAGTGTTATATAAACATGGCCCTTATTCCAGTTGCAACATAATGTTGTGCTGGATCTTGTGCTGTGGAGCTGGGGGGGGCAACTCTTGAGCAGGACAAAATGCTCTGGCCAAGCAGCTCATGGGAGCTTGCTCAGAGCTGGTGAGAGAAAGGATACAAGGAGAGGCTCCACTTTAAATGCCATGCATTACCTCCTGGAAGTGGGTGGTAAAGCAAACTCTGCTTCTTGTGTCACCGGGTCTCTTGCAGCCTCAGAAGTTAGAGCAGAGTTTCAGGTCATGGTGACACCAAAAGGAACTGATGGTTTTACTGGAGCAGAGTTGGAGCTGAGGAAGCAAGCTGAAAGCTTTGGAAGCTTCCCTGCTGAAGTAAGACCTGGTAGGATGTGCAATAGCTGCTTCCTCTCCAAGGTCCTGTATAGCTGCAAAACAACATCACATGCCTTTTGGGGCAGGCTTAGTGTGCAGTAGAGCTCTGCACAATGACAGAGAACTGAAAGTAGGAGGTATCTGAATGTAGCTTCTGCAGTCCCCTCTGCCTTCCCTTGCAGCCTGATATTATGGATGCAAAACTCCTACCACAACCTTTTTTCCTGTATTCATTGAGCAGCTGCTGTATTTTGCTCCATGCTTTCTCCAGCCTCTGCTAAAAGCAGACTAGTAAAAACCTCGTCTGACATAGAACTTCATTTCCAGAACTCATAATCCAGGAGCTTTGAGAAGAGGGACTGTAACTCATTAAGATGTAATTCTGGTAGATTTCCCCTCTGAAACTATATCTTAGCTTTCAAAAAATCAAGCAATTGCAAAACAGATGAGTGAGAACTCTTTGCATGCAGGGTGCTGCCTGGGAGCTGGGCTGTCTGCAGGGTTTAGGACATGATTTCTATCAGTAGCAATCCCCTGCAGGCTCAACGGAGGTGAAGGGCACTAAGTTTTGGCACACTGGACTTTCTGGCAAGGTTCATTTACTAAACTCCACTGTCTTGTGTTGTCCAGACCACGTTTTCCCACCTTGAAAGTTGGTGATGTTTTGATAGAGTGAAGCACACTTTGTTTTCTGCAGTGTGCAGTGGCAGGACAAGCGGAAATGGGCACAAGCTGGAGAAACTTCTTTACTGTGAGAGTAACAGAGCACTGGGACAGGCTTCCCAGAGAGGTTATGGAGTCTCTTCTGGAGACATTCCAAACTTACCTGGATGTGGGATCTACTGTAGGTGATCCTACTCTGGCAGGGGGTTGGACTAGATGACCTCCAGAGGTCCCTTTCAACCTCCACAACTCTGTGACTCTGGGGAGCAGAGGTCTAGGTCAAGCTTTGGCTGTGCTTCAGCCATGATGTGTGTTGTTGGGCAAGTACCTCTCTTTGCTGCATCCACGATTCCTTCCAGAAAGTCAGAGTACCACCAAACCCTCCTGTAAACTATGGAGAAACACGACAGCAACCGAGTGCTGTTCAAGTCTTTGGCCTTTTCTTCCCCCCTTTATAGCCACATTTCCTGTGAGAGTTGGCAGTGGCAACATCTTGGTAACTAAAAAAAACCCCACCTTTTCCAAACCTCCTTGGAAAACCCAGAAGAGTTAAAGTCAACTTGAAAGCTGTTTGACCCTCCCACCCTTTGTGCTGAGGACACTATCCCACTGCACAGTCCAAGCTCCTTGTGGAGCCTAGTGTGGAGGATGCTCTCCAGCCCGTGCCTGCATCTGGGTATAACCGGAAAAGCTCCAGCTCCTCAAGCTGGGCTGAGTCCTTGCTCTGATCCTGGTGCCCTGGATGCTGCTGCTGCAGTGCTGAGGGCTCCTATGGTTCAGTGGGAGGGAAAGGCAGCCTCAGCACTTCTGCCTCAGAGAAGCCAGGGAGAAATGTCTTTTTTTCTTGTTTTCCCTGGATGGTGAGTTCACATCTGGTTTGACTAAACTCTTCCAGCTACTCTCCTTTCCTCACAAAGGTCTTGAATCCCTACGAGGGTGCTTGGCTAACTGGCCCTCTGAGGTGAAGCTGAAGGGAGGTGAACATTATGTACCAGTGCAACTAGTAGAGCTTTGAGGAGTACGATTATATGACGTTCCTCAGTTCTGGATTCAGTTTTTCCATGGAGACACTTAAATGCTTTTGGCTCAAATAGGGCTTTTATCTTGACAGAGCTCAGCATGTTGTGGTTGCTTGTTGGCCAGGACAGCAGCTTGGTTGGGCACCTGACCTGCAGCGAGGGTAATGGAGGAAACAAAGGTTTCCTCTGCTTGAAACTGGAGGAGGGGAAGGCTTCTGAACACGTTCCTCCATCCTGGGCAGAGTTTGCCTATCACATGAGACAGATTTCAGTGGCCTTCTTCTTCACCAGTCACTCTCTAGCTCTCAATGCCTGACTTCTTTTGACCAGTGCAGTCAGTTGTACTGATGTGGTGGTGTAACACCTAGCTGCTGTTTGTGTCTTTGGCTTTGAAAGCTTCTTAGATGCTTCCACATCACTAGTATCTGAGGAAACTTGCTTGTGAGTGCAGATAGGTTCTCAGTCATCATTGCCTCAGAGAAGCCTGCAACCAGAGCCCTTTGGGCTAGAGGGAGTGCTTAAGTTTTTGTTCTCTAGATTTCTAGCAAATGCTTCTAGAAATTCAGCAGCCTTCCACCTTGATCAAGCATGATGGATGAGCTGGCACAAGTATATGCTCAGTTACACAATGAGTGTCACAGTTTTCTCTTGAAGATGGGGCAAGTCTGGCATGGTGAAACAGATCTCTTCCTGCATTTGAGTTGTCCATGATAAAACCAAGCACAAATACAAGCTCATGACTCAACACATGCGCTTTGTCTAGATGATCTTTCAGAGAAGAGAATGCCTTGAGGATTGCTGAGCAGCAGCTCTCTGAGGCATGCCCAAAACCAACCCCAAACCCTTCAGAGTGGAATTCTTCTTTCTTTTTCAGACTTGAAGCTGCACCTCCAGAGTACAGACTATGGGAACTTCCTGGCCAACGAAGCCTCCCCGCTCACCGTCTCCGTCATAGATGACAAGCTGAAGGAGAAGATGGTGGTGGAGTTCCGTCACATGAGGAACCATGCCTATGAGCCCCTAGCAAGTTTTCTGGACTTCATCACGTGAGTATCAGCTGTTGGTGAACAAATTTGAAACACTGGTGTTCTTCCAGACTCGAGGGCTCTCAGAGCAGCTTTCCACACTCGGCCTTGTAGCTGTGTGTTTTCTGCAGCTCCTTGAGCAAAGCTGTTTTGGAGGTCTCCAACCAGCAGCACAACAATATCACTGTGTTGTCCAAGGCGTCTGCTCCCAGGGTGTGTGTGTTTCATTTGCACCTCTGCTTGGTTGCCTTGGTTGTCTATAAGAGCCATCATCCTCATCCCTCGTGTTAAATGTTCCTGGGATTTAAAATAGATGATCCTGCTGCAAAACGTGTCTGGTCATCACAGCAGTTGCCTCTAAGTTCTGACCCACTGAGGTCAATCATCTTCAGTCAAGGCTGCTGTGATCCTGCCATCAGGCCCTCCAGGGGCTGCAGACCTTCCCCTAATGCCCTCACAAACTGGTTTAGGGAGTTGAGCTGCCTGAAAACTGAACATCTTTTCCCTTTGGGGGTTAATCTTTGACTGATTTGTTTTTGTCAGCCAGCTCAAAGGGGTGCAGTGAACACCAGCAGTAGGGGAAGGGAGGGCCCAAAACATGCAGCAGGGAAGAACAGGGCTGCAGCCCTCAGCGTGTCTCTGTCAAGTGTATGAAGAGACCACAGCAGGTTCAGCTGATGGGAAAAGCTTGGAACAGCACAGTGTTCTCACCAGTATCTTCTAGTACTTTTGCCCTGATTCCCTGTGTGCTGCTCTTGTTTTAATTGGGAATAAAATGAATCTGCAGTTCTCCTTGAGTTGCCAGTTGTGCTAATTTGCATTTGAAACATGGAGGTGAAATTGCCTTTTTTCCTTTCCTTGGTCTACATTCCTGTAAGCTCTAGTTTGGCTTGCAAACAGCATAGCCAGTGGCTTTCTCTGACCAGTAAGGAGATATGGACAAAAGTGAGATTCTAGTTCTGTACAACCTGACTTTAACTTGCATCTCTGAGAATAGGGTTGTGCTCTGTTCTTCAGTTGGAGAGCTGCTACATCAGCATTTGTGCATTTGAGATAGTGAGCTTGGGCTCATCACAGGCTCTTTGGCAAGTGATGCTTCATCTTGTTTTGGCAGGTGTGTGTGTTATCTTGCCACCTAGAGATTTTAATGATGCAGGCTGATGTGGAGAGGCCTTTGAGGTCAAATAAAAGATTTTTAAATTTTGGTCTTTCTGTGGCATCTCCTGCATGTGCAAATATTGAGTAAAGGTCCATCTCTCTGCCACACTCCTTCATGTTTTGTCCTTTTTGTGTCTGGACAGTAGCACAATCTCTTTTTTCTAACCCAGTGGCTCGTTATTTTCTGGGTCACTGTGCTTAAGCTCCATATCTTTTAACCTTTCCTGTGTTCTAAGAAATATATTTTTTTCTCTTATGCCCATCACTAAAATTCCTTGAGTTTTCATATTTGGCTCCAGGTATGGAGCAAGACATGGCAAGTCATCAGCAAGACATCAGTAAGCCCCTGTTTTGCAGCAATGACTGAAGCAGTTTCTAGCTAATCATCTTAATTGTATAGAGCAACCTCCTCTGTTCTCTCAAACTGAAGTTAATAATAGAATCCCAGACTGGTTTTGGTTGGAAGGGACCTTCAAGATCATCTAGATCCACCCTTCTGCCATGGCCAGGGACACCTCCCACCAGCCCAGGTTGCTCCAAGCCCCATCCAACCTGCCCTTCAACACTGTCAGGGATGGGGCAGCCACAGCTTCCCTGGGCAACCTGGGCCAGGCTCTCACCACCCTCACACCAAACAATTCCCTCCTCATGTCTCACCTCAATCTCCCTCTTCCAGTTTTAATCCCTTCCCCCTTGTCCTCTCCCTCCCTGCCCTTGTCCCAAGCCCCTCCCCAGCTTTCCTGGAGCCCCTTCAGGCACTGGAAGGTGCTCTAAGGTCTCCCTGGAGCCTTCTCTTCTCCAGGCTGAACACCCCACCTCTCCCAGCCTGTGTCCAGAGCAGAGCTGCTCCACCCTTTGGATCATTGTTGTGGCATCCTCTGGAGTCTCTCCAGGAGCTCTGTGTCCTCCATTTTTACAGTGGGTCTTAATATCTTCTCCTGATAATCTTCATGTACTTGGTGACTGGGCTGCTAGAAAAGAGAGTAGACCAGATGGGACTTCTTGGGCTGCCTTTCAGGCTGTGTTTTGTTCCCTAGAACAGTCCCGTGGGTTGTAGTAGGTTTTGGTTTGGGGCAGGGGGCCAAAGTGTCAGGAATTATTGTCCTGCTGACAGTGTGATGCTTTCCATGCACCTCCCAAATAGCTGGAGAGGAGGAGAGCTCTGTTTGGAGGCTGGCAGCACAGACTTGTGCCAGCAGCCATCATCCCACCCAGGGCAGAGTTGCAGAAATGTTCAGCCAGAGGATGTTGGCAATGCTGGGGGTGTTGTCATCCTGTGCCCTGTGTGACAGAGGCACACATCAGTGCCACTTCATCTTCCACTCTGGGTACACAGGAGGTGTGATGAGGTGATTTATCTTTGCCTTCTGACCATGGCTATTTCCCACTCCTTTCTTTTAGGGTAGTTAATGAAACTCGAGCAGGAAATGGTAAAGACCTCTCCTGGTAGACAGCTCCAGGCAAGCGAGGCACCAGGTGGTCAGAAGAAGAAATTGTACTGAACTGAATGTGTCCATGTGCTAAACTTTTACAGGCTGAATTGAAATAGAAAATGGTAGAAAGATGTGGAAAGTTTTTGAGCAGGGCTGGCTTCTGCAGGAGGAAAGCTTGAGGTCACTGGGACTCTCTTGAGAGAGAGGCACTGGGTTGTAAACAGAGATCTTAAAAATTGAGTGGGTTTGTAGGAGGTATGTCTGGCTTAAAATGGAAGGAAATGTTTTGTAGCATGTCCAGTTCAGCTCTGAATCTCACTGCTGCTGGATGCCTTTGTATGTAATTACAGTTTTGGCCTTCTTAGAAAGACTGGATAACCTTGCACAAGACAGGCCTGTCAAGGCCTGTGAAACACTCGGGTACCACCTCACTGAGAGTGGCCAGGCTGTAGAAGGAGCAAGCATTTAAAAAACAATCAGGCTTTCTCTCTCATGAATGTTCTGCTGGATTTTGGGGTGCTTTTGAGTTAATCCACATGTGACTGTGGTGCTCTCCAGTGTATTGTTGGAGGGTGCTCCCATCTTGACCCGGGATGTGTTGCTGGTAAAATCCTGGGGAACTATGATCTTCACAGCAGCTGTAGTCCTTGCCACCTCTGATTGCTCCAGAGCCAACCTGCCAAAAAAGGTGATGCTTCGTGGTGTATTTTGCCTCTTCTAAGTGGCCAATGAACTAGGTGAGGACACGGGAAGTAGAAGCAGCAAAGGGGGATAGTGTGTGGGCTCTGGAGCAGCAGGAGGTGTCCTCTCCTTGCCCAGCTCCAAGGAGCTGAGGCAGTGCTGCCTGGGCTTGCCGGGAGGTGGCACTCCAGCCCCGTGGCTGCCTGTCCCCAGGGGACACCCTGCTCGAGGGGGGCTGGTCACCTACAGGGGAGGGGGGAGGTCAGGGTGTCCCCTTAGCCTGGGGGAGAGGACAGTGTTTAAAAGCACACAGAACTGACCCCGGGATGCAGCTCGGCAGCAACCCCACAGCAAGGTCTTCATTCCTCAAGTCACTTGCTGCCACTGAGTTGTGTCCTGTTGTGCTCTACTTCTGGCAGCATGCTGGCTCTTTCCTGGCTCCAGTCCTGTCCAGGAACTCTTCTGTGGCAAGTGTTGCCTTGTTGGTACAAAATACACCTCTAGCTGGCTAATTTCCCTCTTGTTTTGTTTTGTTTGTTTTTTTCTTCAAGTGGTGGCTGTAGCTGGCACCTCTGCCACTGCCTGTCGTGGCAAGGAAAAGCTTGACCTGTTGGGCCTGCCACGGTCTCTGTAAAGCACCTGCCAGCTCTGCCTGTCACTAGGCAGCTCCTGGCTGGAATTCTGCTGGTGCTTCCCTGTGTTTTTCAGCTGCCCATAGTAGGTTCTGACTGATAGGCACGAGTTGGCTGGTGACATCTTCTCCAACACAAACAACCGACTGTTTGGCTGAGGGAATGTGGGCAATGTTCTGTAGGGCAGCAACAAACAGGTATTAAGTGTACTTGAAACAGCAAAACCCACTTCCTGAATTCAACAAGCACATATTGACTTGTGGGATGGAAGTGGGTTTTAGGTTCTTCTCGGTGATGTGCTGCCCTGCCTTTCTCTAAAGGCTTGGTTCTTTGTGTTAGCCTGACATTGTGCCATGTCCCATCTCCTTCCTTCCAGCGTTCCTACCTATGATTTAGGTAGGGTTTTTACCATGGTTTTGCTCCCCTCTCTAGCCTGCTGCAGCCTGATCTGATTGTCAGCTTTAGTATTTTTCCAGGGGGGGTAGGAAAAAGGGTTTGTGGTTTGTTTTGGTTTTTTTTTTGTTTTTGTACCCTTGTTTCAGCACAGTCTCTTCCCCACTCTGGAAAGTCTGGTTTTGCAGCAGCCTGACATGAGGGCTCTGGCAGCTCCCGGGCTTCTTGAGCCCTTGCAACAAGCTGATGGGCAGAGAAGGGTTTGATCCCCTGCTCAGGTTGGGGACCTGCTGGTAACTGTGTGGAAGCTGAGTGAAGTCTGAGGGGGGAGCTGGGTCTAAACACATTTTCCAAGTCCATGGTGAAGCCCATTGTCAGAGGACAGACCAGGTCATCTTTTGCCTTCTTACTGTACCAGTCTGCAAGGGCTGGGAACGGGTTCTTTGTTGCCCTGAGGATGTGGCTGGGAACTTGGCTTTTAGTTTGTTTTTGTAGTCACAAGACATGTTTTTGATGAGGCTGCATGTACCTTTTCCCCCACGCATGCCTTTTCTTAGCTGACACTTTCCTCTGTTACCTTCTCCCTGACCCAGTCCTGCTCTGCCTCTCCCTTGCACTGGATAGATCTAGTTTCTGCTGCATGACTTTGAGTTCAAACTTAATCTTGCAGCAGTAGTTTTTCTGGAGCCAAATTGTTTCAATTGCTACTTGAGCTGGAGAGCAA